TTGATATGCCCATAGTCAATCTAACTGATACAATATGTGGTCAAATTTGTTTTTCACAGACTAAAAATAACAAGTCTATTCGTTCTCTATTTTTAAAGGAGATTGCTACCAAGCCTTGCTCTATTGCTTATTGGACTAAATCTGTTGGAAATCCTAAGTGGGAAAGCATTTGGTTATTGCCTCATAAGTTCTTTGTTACAAACAAGATAAAAGAAATCTGTTTCAAAATATTTCATAACTTCTATCCTGTGTGTTGTGTGTGTGTGTAATACATTTTCTCAGTAAGTTTAAGAAGGATATTGACGTTAACTGCTCTTTTTGCTCTTTGCACTTGGAAACTGTACCCCACATCTTCTGGCACTGTAGTTATGGTATGATGTCTCTATGTTTATCAAAGAAAAGGTACTCTTTAATTTTAATTAGCATTTTGAAAATGTAGTTTTTGGGTATTTTAATTATGATAATGTAAATAAAGTTTTTGTTATTAATCTGTTTATTTTGTTGGTTAAGTTTCACATTCATAAGTGTACATTTTCTAACAAAAAACCCTGTTTTACAGTGTTTTTTAAAGAGTTGGAAAATTACTTGTGTACTATTCAACATAGTACTAATAGAAAGGCAATTCAAACTGTCAGTTTGTGTTCTGTCTTCAAATATTTGAGTAATGTAAAGGTCATGCATGTCTCTGATTATGTATGTATATATGTATATATGTGTATGTGTATATATATTTTTTTATTTATTTTTTTCCCCCTTTTCTTTTATCCTTTGTTACCCTGGCTTTGTATTGTTTTGTATATGTCGTTTAAAGCATAAAAACAAAAAATAAAAATAAAAATAGGCCCTAATTCTGCTTTTGAAAGCATCTCAAGCTGAGGCTCATCGGCTCCCAAAACTGCTGCAGAACCGCTTCTTCACACTAACCTCATTGCGCTGATTGACCGCCAGCGGGCGCTGCTGGAAGGAAAGTCTTCCTACTGTAAGCTTGAAGAAGCACACCTGACAATATGATGTGTTTTTATGTGGCCCCACAAGATGAAGACACGCCAGCTAGTATTTTATTACGCTTAAAATATAAATCCAGCGACATTTAGTTTGCTGTTTTTCCCTGTGTGGATTTTTTTCTTGAATTTAAGGCATTTTCACACAAAATGGCTGCCAATCAGAGCCCGCCATTCAATCATATGTGTTAGAATCATCTTACAGACATTTTTTATTTTTGTATTTTTTTATCCTCACTGAAAAAGCATACGGGAAAACGTTAATGGTGGTTTACGTTATTTTAAAACAGAAAACAGGTTGGTTATTTGACTTGACCAGTTTAAAGAAATGAACTCCGATTATAAAACACAAGAATATCAGTCTTAATGGCATAATTGCATTTGTTTACAAGCAACATTGAATGTTGTACTGACGTAGACATTCATTTTTAGTTTTCTCTAAACGTACACTTTTACAGAAAATGTGGCAAGTTTCGAAATCATATAGCTAGGGATGTAACGATTAACCGCGAGCCGGTTGAAAATCGATTCAAATATGTGACGATTCAAATCGGTTGAGATGCTAAACAAATCGCGATTCAATTAGGGGGAGGAGTTTATATGAATGCATGTCTGAGGGGAACTTACTGTCTTTAGAAAAGTTTAGATGGTATTTTTTATTTTCCTCTTGCCTCTGCATAATGTATATTAAAGTTCATAAGTGCAGCGCTGCTTTGCTTACAGCGGAAACCAAGGAAATGCTTTAAGCGCCACCTGCTGGCAGAGAGTGAATCTGCATCTCATTCAGCTCGTCTGCTGTTTCGGTTTCATGCAGATATTTTTTATGTATAGTTTCACAAAACTGAAGTCAAACCATTCTGTTTTTGCTTCAAATTTCGAAACTATACAATCTAATTTAGATTAAAAACTGCTCATGTTGCATGTATGCAGCATCTTTGTTTGGATCGTGATTAAAATGTAGTGGTTGCCTCTAATTTTAAATGGAAAGAGCACAGACAAAGCATATGAAGATATTTATTTTATTTGTGTTACTTATTTATTTGATTTGGGGCTTGTTTTAAAATTTCAATTTAGTTTTGTTATTTATTTTTTACATTATATTAACATTTTGTAATTTAGCAGAAGCTTTTATCCAAAGCGATTTACAAATGAGGACAATAGAAGCAATCAAAAGAGCAATAATATGTTATATTGTTATTATTATAGGACCTTATTATAATATACTATATTAGTATGTTATTATTATAGTATTATATTTCAATTTCACAAAAGAAATGTGCAGCATTTTTATCCAAGCAATAATAAAAAGACACGTTTAGTTTATAATTTGTCTTAAATCTCATTTTGGTAAAAAAAATGATAATAATCGTGAATCGAATCGAATCGTGAGTTGAGTGAATCGTTACATCCCTACATATAGCCTATCAAAAGAGCGGGAATTACCAGACTGTAATGAACTTGACAAAGATTGTCAGGAGTTTTCTAAAAAGTTTCGTTTTATTATCCACATCAGTCTGGATTTGAAACTTCATCTACAGGTATAGAATTTCATCTTTTTATAGCCATGTAAACTGCTGAACTGTTGAAAAGCATGAACACCAGCGTAAATAATAGATGAGGCTATATTTAAATATTTTCCTCAGTGTGTCTAAAATCAAAGCACGTGCTTGTGCGTCAGTTCCAGCGTTTATTATTCGCGTTTGGATTAAAGGAGCGACATAAACTCCTCTTACATTTCACAGGGCGCTATGAAATATTCATGCTGGAAAATTCCTCCATTCTGCACAAATGAACGCGCCACGAGCAGCCCGAACAAAACTGAATCAAACGAGCCTCGGTCCATATATTAGCCTAAAACCTAGAAGTTTCTTTTTTTTTTTCATTGTCATCTGTTGAGTATTAGCTATTTTGCAGTAGCCTAAAGATAACAAATGCAGCCAATTCATTTCGATAAAAAAAAAAAAATCATAATAAATACACATTAATTAATAAATACAAGCTTTCAGTTTTGTTCAACGGGTCATTTTAATGTACTGAAATTGAGCAGACAAAATTGTAACATTTTATTCTTAAGAAAATGAAAAACATATAGGCTAAACGCCGTATATTGCGTTTTAAACAGAAATTAGGCGGATCAGGAATCTAATAACGTTTTAAAAACTTTTTCGCAGATTAATAGAAACGAAAAATAGCCTATAAACTGCAGCAAAGACTGGCAATTAAACAACTGATCATCTCCCCGTCTAAAATCTTTTTGTGTGTGACAAAATGCGCCAGAATCACGATAAAGACTCATATTTTACACTATGTTCGAGCTGTGATAATTAGGAAACTGCATGGGAATGTTGTAGGAAATCTTCCCCCCCTCTATTCTCTATTTTAGCTCTTCAGTTCAACATTAGTAGGCTACACATAAAAGTGTTTTTAAAAGTATGTGACTGGGTTTTATAATTTTATCGAATTATAATTCGAATATCGTGTGTTTCGAATAGAATAAGTCCTTACCTTATAATGAAACCATACATGTAGTGGTCTTTGTAAGAATGATTGATGTAGCAGCAAGCCTTCACGTGTAAAACTGAGAAGGAAGCATTGAAAAATATCCTCCCCTCATACTCGATACGATCGGGCTTGTGTTGGTTTCGGTGGATAATTTCGGAGAGATGGAGGAATTGAACGAATGCAGCATTAAACCAAAAGAAAGGAGAAGAGCTGAATAAACTCTGTGAGCTCTATTGACAGCCATGCGTTTCCTCGGGGGTTCGGCTGGGTGGGGGTGGGCGAGGTGAAGCTATGGCGGATCCGAACTGCTCAATGCATCCAAACAGACCCTCCAATCTGTTGGTTTTGTTAGCATCTCTGTAAGCCTTCTGCTGTGAACTCACTTCATTGATGAGCTAAACTGGGATCTCGCCTCCTAGCAATGTTGACAAAATGATTCCAATTGAATTAGTTTCATTCAAGAGTAAACGAATATTTTCATATTCACTTTGGAGGGGAAGTCTAAATAATGGCCAATCTCAACAGCCAAGGCTGCTTCTGTTCAGTGTGTTTTAAAATTATTTTAAGTGAAATGCACTTTAAATATCCAGCTTGTGAATGAACATGACAATTGGTGAACTGTTTTGCATTTCAATAGCACCTATTTGCATTGTCCTGATTTCACATGTGGAAAACATTTCCACGCAATGAGTTTGGATTTGAAGAATTCATGTCTAAACTGCTCTGACAGATAGAAAAAGTTTGGTTTGTTTCTTTAAAAAGAAAACAAGAGATCCTCCAAACGTTACATTTGAAAAGTTTCAACTCTTGCTAGTTAAAACAAAAAAAGGTTGAACTCTTATTAAGTGGTTTATGAACAATTCAGGATTGAAACAATTGAACTGAACACGTGCGATTTAAATGCTGTGCAATATTTTGCTTTAGAATGTATTACTGTTTAATCTCCTTTAGTTTACATATCATTTGAATGACATAAGTATGGATTTAATGAGAGCTTAAAATTCAACCAACACGTTCATGACTGTTATATATAGGTAACTGCTATGTCAGTGGATTTTAGGAAAGTTTGTAGAGTGTTGTTATTCAGTCCAGCATTAAACTCAACAGGTCAAAATCAGTTAACAGTTTTGTGTAATATTCATCGGAAATAAAAATGACAAGTTTGAATAACCTGCTGATGATTTAAGCCTCGCTTTTATTTTCTAAACTCTACAATCACAAGCGTTTTGTTTTTTTTACCACCACAAATCAATATTCTTCAGTGCTGTTGATTTAAATAACTTTTCTAACCTGGACCTGTTTTGCGTTTCCGGTAGACATAAAACACAGAGCAACTTCTTTATTTATCTGTCTGTCCTGGAACTTATTCGATGCTTGCGAACTTTAACGGGATCAAGATTTAAATAACTTTTCTAACCTGGACCTGTTTTGCGTTTCCGGTAGACATAAAACACAGAGCAACTTCTTTATTTATCTGACTGTCCTGGAACTTATTCGATGCTTGCGAACTTTAACGGGATCAAACGGGGACATTTAGGGTGTGTCCGTAACCTCGTGGGGCGTTTTATGAATGGTGGATGTGAAGCCCTCGTGCAGGAAATGAGAAACTCCATAACATCTGACACCGGGGACCAGATCCGTGACCTGCGCCGTAATGGCACGACCACCATCCATCTCTTCCACACACACACACAGGTTTGTTTTTATGGTTTAAGGGGACTCTGCATAGGTGTAATGGTTTTTATACTGTACAGACCGTATATTCTATTGCCCTACACCAACCCTACCCCTAAACCTACCCCTCACAGGAAACTTTCTGCATTTTTAGATTTTCAAAAAAACTCATTCTGAATTATTTATAAGCCTTTTGAATTACGGGGACACTGAAAATGTCCTCTTAAATCACCTTCTCGTTGTAATACCTATGTCATACCCATGTTATTATACAAATTTGTGTCCTCATAAACCACATAAACATGCACACACTCACACACACACACACACAGCATCTGCGACAGCAGAACTGGTGCAGGGGGTGGGGAGATTGGGGGCAGGGGTGAATTCCGGAGGGGGGTCCGCATGGATGGGTGGGTGGGGGTGGGTGAAAATGGGCGGGGCGTAGGAGCAGTGGGGGTAGTTTTTGATTCACTCCACCAACGTGTTTTTCCTCTGGCTCAAAGACAGAGAAAAACATCCTCTGCCAAGGCATCAGGTTTGATCATGAGGTTGTCAGAAACGTTTACTGAACGAATTTCTTGTAGAAACGAAAACATTACGTTGTTATTACAGGAGAAAATTATTTCAGTTGTCAGTTTCAGCTTATTTTCCATTTCAACTGGTTGGTTTAATGCACATTTGAATTTTTTTGTGAACAGATCACTCCGATACAATTCAAAAGAACACAATAAGCACAGAAACAGAAAGAGAAAGTAACATTGCATGTCATCCTGTTCCATACTTTCATTTTTAGAACATTCCATTATATGGGTTACATTTTGGGCTCAATGTTTACCATGCTTTATCACTTTGGAAAAAGTGGGGTGATTTGCTAGTTGTTTTGGAATAAATGCTCTCTTTTCATGAATCAACAGATCATGTATTTTGAAGGCTAAATATATTTATACTGTTGCAATACACTTATTTGATGTTTTTATGTTTGTTCTGTGTAGACGTGCATTGATGTAGATATCCGTATGCATATATTTTCAAGTGCGCAAAGTAACCCAGAAAACAAATCCACGGAGGACTTGGTCAATAAGGTCTTCTTATTCTGATTCAGTCTCATTGACGTTTGTACTGCAGCAAACAACAAATGCAAACTGCAGCGTGCTTCAACAAACGATCATTTGATTATCTAATTTCTCCCAAACTATAATACGGAATGTTTTGTAAACGCTTAAAAAAAAGCAGAAAGACCTCAGCAACAGCAGAACAACAAAAACATTTTTAGTGAATTTTAAAAGATACCAAATGCGTGCAGAAGAAACATTTCCGTCTTTTTGGTTAATGACATAAAGGTATAACTTTAAAACAAATGTATATAATAGGCAAACGATTATTAATCTAAGTTTAATGGAACAGTAAAACCAATACCCTCTGTATACATTCTGGAAATCTTTTGTGTAGCATTTCTCTGCGACAAGTGTTATGCAAGTATTTACTTTCTGTGGTTACCAGCGGTTGGAATTTGGTTACATAACGCATCATTAAATTGTTACATATAAATGAAAAAAAAACAAAACTAAAATGCTGGACTTTTTATGGCCCCTCGAATGACTTACAAAACAGATTTTAGACGTTATAAAACGCGTTAAAAAACTGAACCTGTACAGACGGAGATGCTTTTACGTGACGCCGCAGCAGTAGAGCTGAAGTCCAGCCCGGTTCCGAGTCCGCACCCTCTCCCGGGCTCACGGAGCAGTCACGTGTGCAGCGCTGCGAGCGAATGAGAAACGGAGAGAGAGAGAGAGAGAGGGAGGGAAAGAGAGAGGGGATAGGAGATGTTAAAAGAGACATGAGAAAATATCCAAAAAGGAGACGCACGCCGTACCATGCGCGCTAAATTTGTGCCCGCTGGAAATCGGGGTGTCGGATCGACGGTGACACGCATCACCCCATTTCACGGAGGAAACGATTTCGCTGGAACTTTGGAACGGAGGATCCGCGGGGAAACATGGCCGAAGGTTACGATGCTTTTTTTTTTTTTTTAAACATCTCTTTTCACGTTCAGACGGGAACGCGTGTTGTCCGCCGTGCTTTGTTTACGTTGTTTGTAGCCTACATGTGATGAAGAGCCCCGGTTGAGTTGGGGAGTTGGGGGTGGGAGGGGCGGGTAACGTGTGCACACCTGCCCCACGCCAGGCGGTTCACATAGCCTACGGTAGGCGAGATGTTTTACGACTACAAGAAGTTACATAGTATACTAACTGGGCACATTGAGCAATCGCAATGCACTGCGCCTTCTCATCTGAAGTGTAGCTCTACTCTTCATTGAGTTTCTCCAGTTTCCCCGAGGGTGGGTTGTAGACAAGCATGTAAGAATATAAGGTTAAGAGACCAAAATGTAAAAGTTTAAGAGTTTGTCGCTGAAAACCCCATATATTGATTGATTATAAAGAGAAGGGGGTGTCTTTGGTGGTTAGGGCCCTGGTTGTAAACGCATCGTTGCACTAAACGCCTGTTGTTGAGTAGAATTGGGGGATTTCCCCTTAGAAACGCTGCCTACACATACCTACGGTCATTTGTGTACACCGAGAACAAAGTATAGGCTACATCTCACGAACGTGCACACCACATCATGGGCTTTTCTCCCTTGACCGCACAGGGCCGCGCGGAGGTGGCGGGTTGGACCCCGCCAGGACTCCGCCGCAGATTCTGGCTGGCTCGGGTTACTGCAAGTGGTTTAATGTCCGCATGGGGTTTGGATTTATATCGATGACCAGCAGCGAGGGGAAGCCAGTGGACCCTCCACTAGACGTGTTCGTTCACCAAGTAAGTCCAACAATGCATGTGCTGGGTTTCAGCCGTTCAGCTCCCGACTCTTTTTTCACGTTATCTGTCGCATCTCATTGACATCAGCAGCAGATGTGCTCGAGGAAAGCACAAGTAAACATGCGCTTGTGTTTTCATCCCCTGTCACTTTAAGAACCCCGAAAACGCATCTTTACTCTCCATTGATATCATCACACGAACGCAGGTCTACTAGTAAACCGAGGTATTTAGGACGCAGCTCTTAAAGGAACCTGAAAAGACTTCATTAGGAAGAGAAAAGCTAGACGAGCCCATGACATTTGCGTTTATTCGCCTCATGCTCGCAGGAACATGTCTGATAAACCTGCCAACATGTCGGCAAATGTCACACGATGATCAGACTGCGTTCACAACCAGACTTTTGAAGAACGGCAAGCGATTTCGGTGTGAGCTGTTGTACTGAACATCATGTGCTCTCGTGTTTACATGGGTGTAGTTCAGCCCCCCTTTCACAATATTTCTTCGTCGTCTTCTCATGGACATTCAGAGCTAAATCAATGCAGACACGTGTACTAACCGGAAATTATCCCCTTTCATCATTTTCCATGCTTTCCACGGCAACTTAAAATAGCACACGCAGATTTAAAGAACAAAAGCAGAGGTTTCTTCTGAATTGTATTAGCACTCGAGCTCACCACACTTGTTTGCTGTCAGATTTGCTGCTTTGTTACATTGTGTTTTTGTAATCTGTTGGTGATCATATATGTCTACTGCTGGATGTTAATGAGATGTTAAAATGATTCCTGGGACTTACCATTTCCATTGTTACAAAACACATCTGCATAATCATTTAATTGAATAACACAACAGCTAGTTTGCATGGAAACACGTGCTGATTTTTTATCTATCTATCTATCTATCTATCTATCTATCTATCTATCTATCTATCTATCTATCTATCTATCTATCTATCTATCTATCTATCAATCATATTTTTTAAAGAATTTAAAACCATGTAAATGTATTGAGTTATTGATCACAGTAGTGCATTATTTTCTTGAATTCAACAATGCTTTAATAACCTTTTATTATGTGTTTAACTAAATTACTATTGCTCAACAATTTTCAAGTAAAAGATTTTGCTTTATGTATTCATCTTGTGATTACTGTTTTAATGGATGCATTAGACACATTGTTTTTGTTTAAAAAATAGAATTTTGTTGCATTATAGTTTCAAATTTGTGAATTAGCACAGTTAAGGAATTTGATGAGCATTAAAAGAAGCATTCTAAATATATACAGAATTAATTAAAATGATTTAAAACAGCCAGTTTGACATTGTTATCTGCAAGATTTTTTGAGGTGAGTTTCATTTCAAATTTCAAGCTTGTGTGGACATGGTTTTTTTTTTTTGGTGCATGAACCTCTTGTGCTAGTAGCCCCTAAACCTGAGTGCATTCTGGGAAATGCAGTTCTCAAAAAAGACAAACAGCAGCCAGAGATACAGTCAGAATGCCACTGAGTTTAATAACATATTTATAGCTATTGTAATATATATATATATATATAATAATTAAGGCAAATGGTTAGAAATGAGCAGGTTGAAATCAAATGAAATCTCCACATCTGTAGTTGTAAATTCAGGTTAAACATACTGTCTTTATGTTAAATCTTGATGACATAGGTTAAGCATGGAACATTTCCTACCTTGTATGCATTTGAGTAGTTATTGTAAGAACGTTTTGTACTACTGATAAAACGGTTCTTCTAATAAGCATGAAGTAAACAATTGTACCGAATGCATTTGGAAAAGGAAGCCTGCTTTTTCCTCATAGCTCAAGCATGGGAAAGTGTATTGATTAGAGTCGTGTTTGTCATTTGGAAGAGCCGTTTGGTTTATTTTTGTGTGCGGTCAATCCTGTGTTTCCTTTTACTGTATATGAAAATCCTGAAACCAGCAAACACACTGTGGCTCCTAACACATATATCAATATCTAGATATCATTAGAATTTGCACTAATATCTTTTACTTGTACATTTACTTTTGTACATTCTTTTCACTACGGTGTTTTTACTTATCCAAGTAAGCAAATTATTAGCTATAATCTCAAAATGCTTAAATATCGCCTGATTATATTAGTCTATCACAAGTTAGCCGGAGTATTCACTGATTGCAGCATTATTCATTTGCTTAATTATTTGTATGTTTTGACCGCTCAAGCTAATTTTAACATCATCCACACACAGGTCATGATGTTGATGCTGGCTTGTGTGTGTCTGTGCATGTTAGACAGACTAATGGCACAAGCAGCTGAAATCCATAATGTCTCTGATAAAGATTTGCATTTCGTTGCTATGCGGCGGTTTATTTGGGTTCTTTGTGTCTGAATGCTGCACGTACATGTGCCTTCATGCTGCATTGAAAATGAAAAAACGCAGGGTGTGTTTGTGTGTTGTTTAGGATGTGCAGCCGTTGTGGATTGTGTGTGTGATAAGCAGAGTGTGTACAGCTGATTATTCCCTCGGTGTGTCTAAACCTGATATTATGTATAGAAACAGAATGTTTCATTTGGCAGTTGGTCAAAAAAACGCCACATTTCTTACAAACAAGAATGAACTGTGTGGTTTAGGACAATACATGTATGCATTTGCAGACGCTTTTATCTAGATTGTTATTATAATTTTTCAACCATGGGAATTGAACCCATGACCTGAGCATAGCTGCTTTGCTGTTTGCGTAATGTGTGCCTAAATAAAATGTATTGCTGTCTTTCCCCTTTATGAAAAATTTCCAGCCAATTTTTCTTGATATATATATGTATTTATATGTTAGTTACGATACATTATTATAGCTATGAGGCTGTAATTGTAAAAGTAGCTATGAAATAAAAATGGTATGAATGAAATCAGCATTACCTATGTGTATGTAATCAGCATTATTTTATTAGTATTCATTTGAAATCTCTTGTTTTGTCTCTTAACAGCTGATTGAAATATTTTATTAAATCAGATATGTTGTTTGAAAATAATTATAACAGTTTCTATATAGAATTTAGCCTTTTCTATTCATGACAGCCAAAATTATATCGTATCAAGGAAGTAATATGAATTATTTGAGATGAAGTAGGTTATTATTGTTTTTCAACTGGCACCAATTCCAACACTCTGACTTTAATGTTAAATTTAATCTTTAAAATTTGTTGTATATTAAATTTGATGAAGCCGTCTTTCTCAGTGCAAGTATATTAATTGTCCTTTTACTAATGGTGCATAATATGTTTCTTAAACCAAAAGATACCAAATGATGGTTACACTTTACTTTGAAGCACTTGTGTATAATGCATTATAAAGGTATTCATATTATTATGCATTACGTTTTAAAGTTAAAATGCATATAATAGTTGCATATTCCTTGTTGCATCTGAAATTGGGTGTTTGTCATGTGTTCTAATCCATTGTACTTTCTAAAGGTGTAACAATGAATAGTATTATAACTGTGGTTAGATTTATCACAAAATGCATTATAAGGTGCTTTGCAAGGCATAATTAATGCATTAAAATACTTTTATAATGCATTATATATAAAGGCTTTAAGTAAAGTGTTACCGTTGTTACATTAGCCTCCCTTAATACAACCAGTACATCAATACAGTATCCTGTAGTCATTGAAACACACCAGTGTTTCTCCTGTGTTTCAGATCTCCTACAAATCCATGAGCTTTTTGTGTCAATCCAGGACAGGAAAGTGTGTGAATAAGAAGAAAAGAGAATGCATGTGTGTGTGTGTTTTTGTTTGTACGTGTAAAGAGGATTTCGGTGTGTGTGTGTGTGTGTGTGTGTGTGTGGTGGGGGTTGGGGTCCTCTAACATTCTTTAAAAGAGGAATTTCGTTAAAGACAAAAAAAGGGAAAGGAGGCGTGGCTTCGGCTGGCCCTCACACTCCGAATCAACGCACTGCGCTGTGTGTTTGTGTGTGTTTCATTAGGAGCTTTGTGTTTGATTCTCCCGAATGCTGCACCTTCTGCAGTGTTTGTGCGTGTGTGAGGCTAACTGCACGAATGCATGTTGATGTTTATAAATGTGTTGCTGTGTCTCGATCATTTTTGGTGTTTATACACTAAAATAAAGCTTCATTATTGGCATTGATGGTTCCACGAAGAACCATGAAACCTTTCCATTGCACAAAAAGGTTCTTTAAAGTGGAAAAAGTGTTTTAAAATGTTAGATAACTTACTGAAAGGTTCTTTGGGGTTGTTCTTCTCAAATGATATGATCGATAAGACACGGCAACATATTTTTTAAAGTTCTATAAGATTTTATAAAATGATTTGGAGTAATTCTTAGAGCCAGTTTGATTATACTTAAAATTTTAAGGCAGGGACTGAACTTAAGTTTTAAAATTGAATTTGAATCTTAGATTTTTTCTTAGTTTTGGTATTGCTGCTTTTCGAACCTTTAAAAAAAAAAATTTTTTTTTAAGAGTGCAGGTTTTGAGCAGTGATGTTGTCCAATTATATTTGTTGCTCTCTACGCTATAGTCTGTGCACAAATCAATCTCCAGAAGCGAGCTAAATCTGATAAAGCCTCTATGCTGTCATTTCCCTTAATGAGAAATGTTTAAGAAAACCTTTATTATATTGAATTTGAACTTGTATATTGATCTCTAGGTTGTGTAAAGTAGTCGATTACACTGGGCAACAGTACAAGCTTGTGTTATAGCCCAAGAAGTTGTGATTGTAAAAGTAGCAACACTCTTAAAAATAAAGCTTCCAATTAGGGTTTTTCACAGCAATGCCATAGAAAAATCATTTAGGGTTTACCTTTCAGTGAACAGTTCTTAAAATAATCTTTTTTTTTTTTTTTTTTAAGTGTGAAGAACATTTTTCCACTTTAAAGAACCTTTGGAGTAATGTTTATTTTTAGTGTATGAAATAAAAATGATATGAATGAACTAACAGGTTGAAGTTATTAAATATGTAATCAGTATTTACACTTATTGCTCACTTTGCTATAGTTTGAGGG